TTTCAAACCTTGTACAAAAATTATTAAAATTAGACAAACATAGATTTATATGGTGCGTGAAAGATCTCTATTTCTGTGTTGCAAAGAAAAGGCACTGAACACCATAGAAAACTAAACTGTCAATACATAAATATGTACACCAAGTTAAAGAATTTTTCAAGCCCTATAAATTTTAGCTATATTTATAAGTCCTTAATATGAGTGGTGTGATGTAGTGGTAAGCAGTGCCCGGTTCCACTCCACAGCACCTGGGTTCAAGCCCTGGTCAAAGCAACATCGCAAAAAATATAGAAAAAAGGTTTTTTCTTAACAGCGGTCGTCCCTCGGCAGGCAATGGCAACCCTCCGAGTGTAAGTATTTCTGCCATGAAAAACAGCTTCTCATAAAAATACAATCGCTGTTCGGAGTCGGCGGAAACTGTAGGTCCATCCGCTTTGTGTGACAACATCAAGGCGCACGCTACAAGTCGGAGGAGATATGTGTTAGCGCCAATCTATTATTATTAAATACTATTATGAGAATTAAAAAAAGGGATTGTAAATTTTTTTTTATAATTATTTTACATTCAATTAATTTTAGTAAGAACTATACAACATATCGCACACCGTCTTCAAAAGAGTCACAACTCAAAATTTGGCATTTTTGAGATTATACGCTAAAAATGTTCGCTGAGCTTTTATTTACCTTTCAGCAAAATCTGGAGCAAATTTTTGTTATAATTTATTAAAAAAAACTAAGGTAAAGTTGCCCTTGCCCGTATGATTACCATGTGCTGAGAAATAGTTTTTCACATTTTCTGACAAACGTATTATTTTGAGTTGTGACTCTTTTGAAGACGGTGTGCGATATGTACAAAGTATGTATACGAAATTAAAGGGAATCAAAACATTTTCAAAATACATCCATTCGCTTTTAAGTAATCTTGATTTCAAAAATAGCTTATTTTGAACTTTAACCTTTGATAATACTTGTTGTTGTTTCTATCGATTCGAATATTTTTTTTTTAAATTTGAGAATCGGAGCCGTACTGCATTTATGCCAAATTTTTTTTGTTTATTTTATTATACAAATCTTAATGAAACATTCCACTGTTAAAAAAACGAAAACAAATTTAAACCTAAATTTAAAAAATGTATTATTTATTGCATCTTTTATGATTCACTTGCCTTGTCACAACTTTATATCAATCGAACAACAAGGGCTATACAAGATCTTTAATCCTCTCAGAGCCCAATTATAGCGACTTTGAGGTTTAGCTTAGGAATTTCGTCATTCATTTTATTTAATTTTTAATAAAACATAATTAGTATAATAAAACATAGAAAAAAATGTTTGAAAGAAATCCGTTGGTTTTCATGTATGTAGGTAATATGCATTTGAAATATGAACCAGCCCCCCCAGCAAATAGGTCGTAAGCAATACGCAGTGTCGATTGCCTATCGCATCGCATTTCTCTTTCGCATCACATTGCAGAGTAGCCTTCCCAGATCGGGCCATACATACGGGTTTTTCAAAAATCTCGACTCCTGTGCCACCTAGCGCATTAATTCTTGCATATTTCATCGTCATCGGGTTCTGAGCTAAGTTTGAAATTTCAAGTCTCAAGCTCATCGGGGAATTGGTTAATTTGACACAAACAAACATATGTACTTACATTCATACATGCAAAGCAAGTTAAATAAAAGCTCGTAAAAAATAAATAGCAATTGGCAGCACTTCGGTCTGTGATATAAATGTGTATAAAAGATTTGAAACAAAACACTAACGTGAGTGCGTCAGTGCGTATGAGTGACTTTTTTGAGCGGAACAACGAGTACATATTCCATATGCCGCTACCTAAAGGTGAAAAGGTGCCAAGTACATTTTTTTGAAATTGTTCAGGAGATACGAAAAATCGATGTATGAAGATGATTTGCATTATCTGTTCTGCATCAAAATCTAAATTTTGAAGAAAAACAAAAGTGGACTTGGCATCTTTTCACCTTTAGGTAGCGATATGTATTTATACGTATGTATAAAAAGTTCAGATGCATTTACAAGTTCTGTAGCCTAAATAGTACGAAGAAAATGTTAGAAAACTCACAAAAATTTAATTATGCTGTTGCTTTAACTTATTGAAATACGTCTTGTGCTAAAAAATGTGCCCATGATTTCTTGCCACGCAAACCCGCTTTATGTGAACTTCCTTCGTTTATTCGTTCCAACGTAAGACATTTTTGGTTCATGTTGACAGGCAAATTGCATGCTAAATGCAATTTAGGAAATTACTTAACTATTTACTTTCATTTTCCGTCCAGTACGGCGGTCACTTGTAACTTGAAACACTTGAACTTTTGTCAATTGCCCACTTTTTTGAACCCAATAGCATAAATTTAGGGTTATTTTTTTTTCGAAAATTGAAATGAGTACGCCGCGAAAGTGGAACAACTGATGACGGCTAATTAAACTTACCAATATGAGTGACCCACGAATATTCTTTACATGAAAATTCGTTTGAACCTAGTACATACACTAGGCTACAAACGAAATTGTACACCTTCTTCAAATATGTATAATATTCACAATTATTTTTATGAACAACTGTTGCATTAATTATTTAGGAAAATATAGTTGATTCTATAATATAAACCAACTACATCAAAGTTTCAAACTTTATATGAAGTTCAAAAAAAAAGTCAACTTTTTCGTAGTAGTAAAGTAGACTTTTATAAAAAAGTATAAGGGTCATTCCATACAATATTTACACCTCAATATCTTTTTTGGGGTGAAATGTAGTTTTTTACATTCTTTATCGAAAAAAAGAAGACAGCTATTTTTTTATTTCGTCATGATAATCGAAAATCTCAAAAAAAATCCCGAAACTTTGAATTCACGGAGAAGTTTCTTTTTTTAAGTGTTTGCAGTTAATAAACTATTTGTCGGAGAAAATCAGTTAAGGTATCTAAATGTGCGTGATTACCTCGGCTTTCCATTCGAGTTTGAGATAGATTAAAATAAAAAAATTTTGGCATTAAAAAATCGCATTTTTATGTGAACAGGATGCAAAAAAAACCATACAAAAATATGGAAATTTTTAAACGACGATTTCGAAGCTATAAACATTCTCCTCATCTACAGAAAATTACCTTTCCAACGGTGTTTTTGGTTTTGAAATCGGTAAATTTACCTTGGTCTTCATCTTTGTTTTTATCTTTCATATCTTTGCTTTTATCCTTTTCTTTATCTATTCACGTAGATGAGATGAGGTGCGATGACGTGATAAGATGTGACGTGATTTTATGTGATGTGGAAGGATGTCATATCATATCATGTGATGTCAAGTCATGTGATGTCATGCCATATAATGTGATGTCATATCATGTGATGTCATGTCACGTGATATCGTGTGATGTGATATCATATTATGTGATGTAATATCATGTGATGCCTCATCATATAATGTGATATAATGTGATCTGATGTCGTGTAATGTGATCAGATTCCATGTTCGGATTATTATATCGATAACCCTGTCGATAACTGTGTCGATAAAAATACCGATAACAATATCCATAAACATATAAAAAAATATAACGATTGCAAAATCGATTGATTCATCGATAAATATCACAATCAGCAGTATCGATTATTATACATATCAATATCAATTACAAATCGATAACAAAATCAAGTATTTAATCGATTATTATACCGATAACAATATCCATTATTGTATCGATAACAATATCGATTATCATATCGATAACAATATCGATTATCATATCGATTACAATAGCGGTTATTTAATCAACAACAGTATCGATAACAATATCAATTATTTTATCGATAAAAATATCGAGTTTTATATCAATAAAAATATCAAGTGTTATATCGATAAAAATATCGTTCTTCATCCTCATCCTTTCCTTCATAGGTATTTATCTTTATTTTTGCATATTCCTCTTCACATTTACCTTAAAGTGCTTAAATTTACTTTGATCTTCGTTTTTTGCCTTTATCTCTAGGCATCTTTGTTTTTGTGTTTAAACGACGGTTTTAGTCGTAGTCATTTTCGGTTTCAGCGCCTCAAAAAACATAGGAATACACATCCATCTCATGGTTATAAGGGGGTGGTACCGGGAAAATGGTTAATTGAAATAATTTTTATAGTCATATTCCTTTTCAGCGACCCCATAACCCTAGATATAGTGGGGGTTTGCCCTCTGCTTCGATTTTTTTTGTGTGCTTGTGTAATTAATACACTACTGCTTTCGGATTTCCACCTAAAATTGTCAAAGACGTATTGTTTAGGAGTAGGTATGTTCACAAGAGTTAAGGCCTGAACATTCTGATCAACTAAAAGTCCGAAACCATAAAATAGGGTATTTCCCTTGGAAGTAAAATTTGAAAAAATATTTTATTGGAAGTCTCCTGAAAAGAACCAGAGTTTTCCGGTAGCGGTATATTTTTTCGGTATAGAGCAATCCTAGGGGGTGAGAGCATTAAAATTTCGACATTACTTTTTTGGACCACCTTAGTGTTCACACTTTCCTGGTTGTCTAGTATTATTCTTTACTGTATTTTATTGTTGTAAACCGAAAACAAAATAACATAACCACATAGCCTGATAACCAGACGGATGTGAACAACCCAATTATCTTCATATTTATATTTATGGCGTGGTAACTTTTATATGAAAAGCACTGTTATTATGTGCATTCATACTTACGTATAAGCGTATTTGTGTACAATATATTATGGCTTAGTAACGATACTTAAATTACTGCTTTGTTCGCTTAAGCTTAAATTTCTCTTACTTAAAATTACCATTAATCACCTGTGGCAGACCTAAACATAAATACATGGGTATTTAGAATAAAGTAAAATAAAAATTTTACAAACTTTTCACGCTGACCAGAATACATATCTATATGTATGTACTTATGTATAAATGAGCGGACAAAAGTAATGCATTATCTTTTAAAGAAAAATTCGATATTTTTCTCCGAAACAAAAATTACCACATATGACAGCACTTTGATGGGGTCCAGATATCAATCGCTTAACTGGATCGTTTTTAATGTAAAAATAACTCTGCGTGTTCTCAGCCAAGTAGGACTTGCCAAGCGTAAAAATGGCGCCCGTGTTCGGTATATCCATTTGAAATTTGATTTGATTTGATTTGAATATTAAACCTCACTAGTCGTTGGTTGCACTTTGTTATAGAAATAATACAGCTTTCACTGCATTTGTTCACTTATTTTCTCTAAACAGCACATTTCTCAGCTATAGATTTTGTCACAACATTTTCCGGCCATAAATCAGCAACGGAAATTACATTCCAAAAAAATTCTTATCGAGCACAACAACAACCGTCAACCGCAGAAAATGTCCCTCGTATGCGCCACGACGAATCGATTTTCGTTTTAAGCTTGTTCTTTATGTTCTAGCCGAACCCGTTAACCGGGCAAATGGAGCACCACATTAAAAAATAATTTAGCATACATATACATATATGTATGCACATGTAGCTGTGCCTTTCAATGAAATTCCGAGGGTATAATGGGCTCCTGTGAGTTTCACTATGTATTCGAGCGTTTTTTATAATTATTTTTGTGTATCTTTTTGTCTAACTAGCGTTATTTTGAAATTAAGACTTGCGTGTTGCGTCGCGTTTACATTAATCGTACTTATCGACGCTTAACGCTTGCCATGGCAGCAGACGAGCGATTTGTGTGCTGTGGTCAGTCGGACGGTTGGTAGTAGACTGGACATTCGCTCTTTTAGCAATTGGCTAACAAAGCGGCTTAAGGATATGTAGCCCTTAAAGCGATAGCGGTGTGTTCGCTGTTGCTTCTGTTGGCGGTGTGAGGTTGTTGGGGACTGTTTAGTTAAGTGTTGTTTTGACCACTGCTTGCTGCTTTTTATGTAAGTTTTTGTGTTAGTATGCTTGTGGTAGAGTTGCGCGTGTTGGTTCATGGAACAGGAACAGGATTGGGTAGCCCCCCTATGGATTTCCATGAAATTGGGCCATTATTTCCCCTTTTAGTACATAATGGCTGAAAATAACTGTTTTCAACTTCTTAGCTTCTTTTAAACTATTTTGTTTGCTACTTTTTTTCTTATGGCGGTGGCCACCTTCTGGCACGCACTTTGGCGCCCAAACCAAACAGCTGTACTGTGTTGGATTAGCAATCCAATAGCCAAAGCCAGTAGTTAAGTGGACGTGCTGGACGATGCCGTCATTGTTGCTGAGCGTGGTAGTGGTACTTGTATTTTTTCCATTGAATTGTCATCGTATTTGGGTATGGTTATTTCTGATTTGAATATGTGAAGGTATTGTATGTGTGTGCGTGCCTTAATGCAAATGAACAATTGTTGTGGGAATTTTGTTCGATTTAGCGCGGTATAGCCCTATACAAACATGCATACAAATGTATCTATAAACAATACCTATGCAATTTGCATATATGTACAAACATATTCATGTTTATATCCTATTTGTACTTATGTATTTCATTTTCTTGGCCTAATGCGTAATTTTGTGTATAAATATGTTTTATACTTTTCAGCTGTAAAACACTTCACTTCCTTTTTCTGTGTCATATAGAAATTCTTGCGTTGATTTCTGGGTAAGGTAAGTGTTTGTGAAGTATGTTTGTATTATGTCAGAAACACCAACAACCCAAAGGAAATTGTATCTGTATTCGTTCTATTAATGACTGCATTTAAGCTTAATATGAGGGTCACTAAAAATTCTTTAGAATCCGCAAAACTAATGCTATTTGAGTTGATCTTATATTTTTATCGAAAAATTTTACATGTTTTTAGTATTAGCTTGCTCAGAACGTATTACAGTACGAGCGCTGTTTGTGTTGTTTACAGTTACTTCAAAGTTTAAAGTAGTGGTTAAAAAAGGTTTTCGTTGGCTGATTGTTTACAACTTTCGCCGGTGCATTGATGATCTTATTTCGACTTTTGTTGATGAAACACCATCAAGGCCAGTGCTTGTAATTGGTAAAATGCGTTCAAGCTTTGTCGTATGTATCGAAAAGGTCGTACAATTTCGGTTTGTACTCTTGAAAACATCAAAGCTGTGCGCAGGACGATATTGGAAGATCGTGAGGCGGTCCTGGGCATTCACGCTGATACCACATATAGTTGGGTCTATGCGGCCGAGCTAGAGAGAAAATACCAATCAGATGTGAAACGACAAAACTTCGTAGCGCAAGAGGCCTTTTGAAAAAATGGTGGCTTGTTTCTTCGCAATCACGGGTCATGTGGCTATAGCGGCTTTACAGGAACGTAGAATAGTTAATTCTTATTGGTAAACAATCATTACCTTTGCAACGGTTTTGGTCAAAACATCCCATTGATGCGTCATCCGAACAGGACTGATTTGGCACCTAATCTTTTTTTTATGTTCTCGTATATCAAGGACAAACTTCGCGGACAATGATTTTCATTGCCAGAAGAAGCTGTTAACGCGTTCAAACTCCATGTGTTTGAATGCACTGCGTGAAAAATGGTTCACCAATTGGTTTGAGGGAAGGCAAAAATGCATAAATAATTCTAAAGAGTATATTGATAATCAGTAAGACCATTTTTTCGACGAAATTTTTTTTAATAATTGCTGTGGGAGGTGCTGCGCTCCGACTAACTACTTCGCCGTTTTGTATGAAATATGAACAGGGAATTTCATTACTCATACGCCATGTATTCCCATTTTTGATCAAAGTTAATAAGAAAACAATAATAATAACGATCGATAATACGGAAGTGATAAGTCGCAGCGTAGTACTTCCCGATGAAATTATTTAGGTAATTTCTTTCTCTACAACACAGTATTTTTTCCATCTTGATACGATTAAATATCTTTGTCATTGAGCGATTAAAGAGTAAATTTCTTAAAATTAAAATTAACTAGCTACTACCCTATGAAAAAACTTTAATGACTAATTTTGTAAATGAATTACAGCCATTTGAGATTCATATCAAGTATTTTTCAAAACCTCGTTTCTAAAACCTTGTTTGCTTTTGAACGGCTTTGACAGGGCCTTCCAGATTTGAATGGAGCTGACGGTCGCGCTACACGTCACTTCGTGTATCAAGGGCCGCTTTAAAATCGACAAATAAGTGGTTTTTGTTATCTGGTGTCTTTACCAGGATTTGATGCACCGAGAAAATCTGGTCAACGTTGAACTTACAAGGTCTGAAGCCTCATATAAGGTCCAATAAGTTGGTTCATGTGTATAAGGCTTCTGTATTTCTCACATTACCTTTTTGGCGTTGTTGAGAAGGCTTGTCCGAACCGTAATTGTGGATTGGGCAATGGACATTGAGCCTCCAATCTTCATCAGACCAAATTCTGCACTGCTACACTTCGACGTCGGCTGTGAATAACTCAGTTGGTATCTCGTTGACTCCGAACACTTTATTACTGTTCTCTACTGGTTGAGTAAATACACGTAAGTTTCGTCACTATATGTATATTCGCCTGCGGTATTTTTTAACATCAGCAAAAGAAATATAAGAGCAAGACCTCCTATCTTCAAACCTATTAAAATCACCAAACATAAAATTTTACCTATGTATGCACTGTATATAGTACATATTGATCCAGGTCTAAATTAAATTGATGATGCCCGTTAGCACAATGACATTTGGATTTTTTCAAATTCCTCGTTCATAACTATTTGTCAAGGTCCTATGCGAGTTAGTAATTCGGCGTGGGATCATCTTTTTCGCATATCGTCCTCTTAACATAGAAATGCCCTATGTAACATTTTTGTTTCGTTAGAAGTATAGCGACTAACGGTCTGCATCGGAATTCAATTTGCTTCACTGTGAGGTTTTCTTCAAATATGTAAACTACTCATACTCTTAACAAAAAGGGTGTGGAAGGAAGAGAAGTGAAGATATTGAGCGCTGTATACATAAAAAAAGTACTCAAACAAATTATATTCCGAAAAAAAGAGGAACATAAATCAGCAGTACCATGCTGTTAAACTTCCACAAAAAAGATGTTCTTTCACAAGTATTTTTTGAGTATTTTTGGAAGTTTTGGTTTAATGCTACATAATGTTAGTGTTAGAGCTGACTCTTATGTTAAATAGCAGACATGGACAAACAATGTAGGGCGCTCCGCATATTTAGCCAAAAGCATATTTTTATAAAGAAAGTGGACTCATTTTATACAAAGAACCAACTTTTATTTGTACAATACGCCACTTTCATTTCCCAATACCAGGCGCATATACTTATGAAGTAGCAAGCTTTCCCTATGTATTTAAAAATGCAAATTTAAAAATTTATACAAACAATTTTCTGCTTAGAAATAGAAAACTTGTTACTTCACATGTATGGGCGCCTGGTATTGGGAAATGAAAGTATCAATTTGACAATAAAAATTGGTCATAAAGACAGGTCGCGGAAAAATGGACACACATTTGTTGTTATTTAAAAAATTTACATAATATGTATGCACATAAATCATGTGCAAACATTGAAGCATCCGGCGAGAAATGTAAAACAATATTTTTCCCACCTGCCACAGTAAAATCAAACAAATCAATAACCTCACGAAACTAGAAACCGAATATAGTAAAACTAAAATTCTTGGCTTTTCTCTTAGACGTCAGGATTTTTTTATGACTTCCACATTTCAAATATATCATTGATTAAAACATTAGTATATTTAGTGCAATGCAAAATAACAATATGGAAACAAATGAAAGAGAGAATTCTATAAAATTGTAAAAGATTATTTTTTTTTTGGTGCAAAAGGCCGAAAGGATATTTAAAATGTGTTTTTAAAATTTTATCCTTGAATATTCTTGAAAGCTTCTACTATTTATTTTTGAAAAAATTTATGTTAATGACCAATATTTACATCCTCGAATTTCGTCCTTCTAACGATATTAGTTTAGTGTAAAGAAATGTAATTAAAAGGGCATTTTCAATACCTATTCATCCTTGTGATCCAAACAAAAGTTTTTTACAGAATTTATAAAATTTTTACTTTCACTCGGCACCCATACTATTATTCTACATTGCACACAATTTTTAAAATAAGTTTTTGAAATTTCAAAGAGAGAAAAACAAAAAACGCAGATTTACTAAATATATTTCACCCCTAGTTTCGGGAGTATATTGATTGTTTCGTGTGTTTTGATGTTTTTTTTTTGTCTCACGGTGTAATACATATGTACATATATGCCCAGATATGTAGTTAAAAAAATCTACTTATAAAAGTTCAAATGCCATTGAAATTTAATTGTAAGGTTTTTGCTACGCAATCGGTTTCGCGAGGTGCCAATCCAGATTCCCAGCCCCACATGCTTGTACATATTTTTAATTTACCGTTACTGCTTTAGCGAGTTCTTCTTATTTCATCTAATGCCAAGAACACTGTTAATTTTTCGCTTTAAATCATTAATCCTTCAAGGTAATATTGCCGGATATGTCTAATGATTGATTAACTTAGTTTCTGTCGTAAGCCTAAACAATGGGCTTAATGACTATCCAAGTTTACATGTTGTATGCACGAACGCATGAACATATGGATGTATGTATGTATGTACGTATATAACGGGTGATTTTTTTGAGGTTAGGATTTTCATGCATTAGTATTTGACAGATCACGTGGGATTTCAGACATGGTGTCAAAGAGAAAGATGCTCAGTATGCTTTGACATTTCATCATGAATAGACTTACTAACGAGCAACGCTTGCAAATCATTGAATTTTATTACCAAAATCAGTGTTCGGTTCGCTTTACGTCCGATTTATGGTCTACATAATCGACCAAGTGAGCAAACAATTAATGCGATTGTGACCAAGTTTCGCACTCAGTTTACTTTATTGGACATTAAACCAACCACACGAATGCGTACAGTGCGTACAGAAGAGAATATTGCGTCTGTTTCTGAGAGTGTTGCTGAAGACCGTGAAATGTCGATTCGTCGCCGTTCGCAGCAATTGGGTTTGCGAAACACATTTCGAACCGAACACTGATTTTGGTAATAAAATTCAATGATTTGCAAGCGTTGCTCGTTAGTAAGTCTATTCATGATGAAATGTCAAAGCATACTGAGCATCTTTCTCTTTGACACCATGTCTGAAATCCCACGTGATCTGTCAAATACTAATGCATGAAAATCCTAACCTCAAAAAAATCACCCGTTAGTTTCAGTCGGCATTGAACAAAAATTAATGTAGACACTATATTATTACAGTCAAATTACCATAATGAATTACAATAATTTCGGCTAGTTCGTGGTAAAAATATTTGAGTAATACAAACTATGAATGTGTTGTAATTCCCTAAGAAATTTGCATGCATGAAAGCAGGGCTGCATACCGGTTTTGAACCGAACCGGTTTTTGAACCGAAACGGTTTTTGCACCGAACCATCGCTTTTTTCTGGCTTCGAACCGAACCACGAACCGAACCGTTTTAATTTTGAAATGCCAAAACCGAACCGAAAACCGTTCCAAAAAATGGTTCGGTTCGGTTCAAAATGAAAATCCACTAAACCATTTTTCAAGTTTTGTAATGCACAAATTTGTTAAAAAATGCAACCGGTATAGTAAAACTGCAAACATTTTTGTGTTTGATGGCAACTCCGCGAGTTGT